TATATCTCTAAATGCTTACATAAATAAAATAAAAAGAGGAGATTAATGAATTGGGCATACAACTAAAAAAACTAGAAAAAGAACAATTAAAAATCCTCAACTAAACACAAATTAGAAATATTGAAAACCAAAGGAAAAATTAATAAAATTGAAATTAAGAAAACTATTGAACTAATAAATAAAACTAAGAGCTGGTTTTATGAAAAAACCAATAAAATAGATAAACCTTTGGTTAATTTAATTAAAAAAAGAAAGAAGAAAACCAAATTACTAGTATCAAGAATGAAAAGGGAAGCTACCACCAAGGAAGAGGAAATTAAAACAATAATTAGGAATTATTTTGCCCAACTATATGCCAACAAATTTGACAATCTTAGTGAAATGGATACATATTTACAAAAATATAAATTGCCCAGATTAACAGAAGAGGAAGTAAAATACTTAAATAACCCCATCTCAGAAAAAGAAATTGAACAAGCCATTGATGAACTCCCTAGGAAAAAATCTCCAGGGCCAGATGGATTTACATGAATTCTATCAAACATTTAAAGAACAATTAATTCCAATACTATATAGACTATTTGGGAAAATAGGTGAAGAAGGAGTCTTACCAAATTCTTTTTATGATACAAATATGGTGTTGATACCTAAACCAGGAAGAGTCAAAATAGAGAAAGAAAATTATAGACCAATTTCTCTAATGAATATAGATGCAAAAATTTTAAACAAAATACTAGCAAATAGATTGCAGCAACTTATCACAAGAATAATACACTATGACCAGGTAGGATTTATACCAGGAATGCAGGGTTGGTTCAATATTAGGAAAACTATCAGCATCATTGAGCATATCAACACCAAAACCAACAGAAACCACATGATCATCTCAATAGATGCAGAAAAAGCTTTTGATAAAATACAACACCCATTCCTATTAAAAACACTAGAAAGCATAGGTATAAATGGAGTCTTCCTTAAAATAATAAATAGCATTATCTAAAACCTTCAGCAAGCATTATATGTAATGGGGACAGGCTAGAAGCATTTCCAATAAGATGGGGGTGAAACAAGGATGTCCATTATCACCACTGTTATTCAATATTGTACTGGAAACTTAGCTTTAGCAATAAGAGAAGAAAAAGAAATTGAAGGCATTAGAATAGGCAAAGAAGAAACAAAGCTATCACTCTTTGCAGATGACATGATGATATACTTAGAGAATCCTAGAGAATCAAGTAAAAAACTACTTGAAATAATAAACAACTTTAGCAAAGTTGCAGGCTATAAAATAAACCCACATAAATCATCAGCATTTCTATATATTACCAACAAAGCCCAACAGCAAGAGATAGAAAGAGAAATCCCATTTAAACTTACTGTAGACATTATAAAATATTTAGGAGTCTACCTCCGAAACAAACCCAGGAACTCTATGAACACAATTACAAAACACTTTTCACACAAATAAAATCAGATCTAAATAATTGGAAAAACATCAGTTGCTCATGGGTAGGCCGAGCTAATATAATAAAAATGACAATCCTACCTAAGCTAATTTACTTATTCAGTGACATACCAGATCAAACTACCAAAAAATTATTTTATAGAGGTAGAAAAAATAATAACAAGATTCATTTGGAAAAACAAAAGGATATCAAAGGAACTAATGAAAAGAAATGCAGGGGAAGGTGGCCTAGCAATTCCAGATCTTAAATTGTATTATAAAGCAGCAATCATCAAAACTGCTTGGTAGTGGCTAAGAAATAGGGAGGTGGATCAGTGGAATAGGTTAAATATGCAAGACACAGTAGTCAATGACTATAGTAACCTATTATTTGATAAACCCAAAGACCCCAGCTTCTGGGATAAGAACCCACTCTTTGAAAAAAACTGCTGGGAAAACTGGAAAAGAGTATGGCAGAAACTAGGCATAGACCCAAATCTCATACCATATACCGAAATAAAGTCAAAATGGGTTCATGACTTAGATATAAAGGCTGATACCATAAGTAAACTGGGAGAACAAGGAATAGTTTACCTATCAGATCTATGGAGAACAGAAGAATTCATGACCAAACAGGAGATAGAGAACATTATGAAAAGCAAAATGGATAATTTTGATTACATTAAATTGCACAAACAAAGCCAATGAAACCAAGATTAGAAGGAAGGTAGAAAATTGGGAAAGAATTTTTACAGCCACTCTCTCTGATAAAGGCCTCATTTCTAAAATATATAGAGAATTAAGACAAATTTATAAGAACACAAGCCATTCCCCAATTGATAAATGGTCAAAGGATATGAACAGACAGTTCTCAGATGAAGAAATTAAAGCCATCTATAGTCATATCAAAAAATGCTCTAAATCATTATTGATTAGAGAAATGCAAATCAAAACAACTCTGAGGTACCACATCACACCTATCAGATTGGCCAACATGACAAAACAGGAAAATGATAAATGTTGGAGAAGACGTGGGAAAAGTGGAACACTAATACATTGTTGGTGGAGTTGTGAAATGATCCAACCATTTTGGAGAACAATTTGGAACTATGCCCAAAGGGCTACAAAAATGTGAATACCCTTTGATCCAGCAATAGCACACTTCTAGGGCTATATCCCAAAGAGATCAAACAAATGGGAAAAGGACCCACATGTACAAAAATATTCATAGCAGCTCTTTTTGTGGTGGCGAAGAATTGGAAATTGAGAGGATGCCCATCAATTGGGGAATGGCTGAGCAAGTTGTGGTATATGAATGTAATGGAATACTATTGTGCTATAAGAAATGATGAACAGGCTGACTTCAGAAAAACCTGGAAAGACTTATATGACCTGATGCTGAGTGAAGTGAACAGAACCAAGAGGACTTTGTACACAATAACAGCCACGTTATGCAATGACTAATATTGTTAAACTGAACCCTTCTCAGCATTACAAGGATCTAAGACATGTCCAGAGGCCTCAGGATAGAAAATGCTGTCCACATCCGAAGAAAGAACTATGGAAGTCAAATCGCTATCACTTATTTTTACCTTCTGTTGAGTTTTGTTTCATCTTTCTGATGGTTCCTCCTATTGGTTTTAATTTTTACTTACAACTTCACTAATGTGAAAATATATTTAATGGGTATGTAAATGTAAAGCCTATATCAGATTGTGCGCAGTCTTGGGGAGGGTGGGGGGAGGAAGGGGGAAAAAAATTTTCAACTCAAAAGCATATGGAAGTAATTGTTGATAAATCAAAATAAATTAATAAAATGAAAAAAGAAAAAAGAAAAAGGGTTCTGATCTTTTTATCTTCTTTCCTTTTGATCATGGGTCTTGAAATCAATAGAAGTTTGTAATGAAAGAGGGAGATAGAATTAAGACCATATTTTTGTGATTGTATGAACTGCTAGCATTTGAATCTACAATAAGCACATTGTTACTCCAGGTCTCTTTTTAGGATAATGAAACCAGAAATATACGGTATGTTTATTGGGCTGGGGTTTTTTTAATTAAGCCAAAGAACTAGCCAATAATAAAAACACATTTCTAGATCATATGTCAGTTTAATTTAAGTGCTGGAGCAGATCACTGAAGGCCAGATGACACGGGAGATCATAGTGAAATTATATCTCAAGAGAGCAATTATGAAAAAAAAAATCCCTATAAAGTCCTGTCTCATTTGGGTTTTAAACTTAGTGTTAGAATCTGTTTAAAATAATTACGACTATTACATTGCTCTTTTTTTTTCAAGCTTTCTTTCTCTTGGGATCTGTAAGCTACACTTAATTTTAACCCTCTTAGTGATTGTCTTTTCTCCCACCCCCCACTCCCTACCAGTGCCTAGCAGGAGCTTTGATGCATTGTAACAAATACTTAACAAATACCTGTTGAATGAAAAAGAGCAGTAACTGGTAAATTGAGAGAAGGAAGAAAATGACCAAGACATGTTTCATGTCATTTCCAGTCTGAGAAAAAAAGAGGTGCACACAGTTAACATGATACAAATTTCAATAGAATAATAACCACACATATTCCTAAAGTATTATATGGGTTACAAAGTGTTTATCTTCATAACAACTGTGAACTACAGGAGGACATTAAGTACTATTAAGCAGGTAGGTGGTACAGTGAATAGAGCCCTGGGCCTGCAGTCAGGAATCCCTGAATTCAAAGACAGCATCAGAAACTTACTAGCTAGGTGACCCTGGGCAAAGTCACTTATTTGCCTTACTTCTTTTAGCTATAAAAGAGGGATAGTGATAGCACCTCCTTCCCAGTGTCGTTGGGAGGATCAAATGAGAAAATATTGTAAAAAGTGCTTAGCACATTGGATGACACACAGTAAGTATTTCATAAACGCTTGTTTATCTCCATTTTGCAAATGAGAAAACTGAGACTTAGATGAAATAACTTGTTCAAATTACACAAGAGGCAAAGGACAGAGACAGAACTCAAGCTCAGGTCTCCCCCATCCAAGTCTTGTGCACTTTTAACTATAGCCTTTCATATTATAATTGAAGTACAGACTGCTATAAGATTGGGGAGGTCAAGGTCATTTCCATCTTTCTTACAGCTACTTCTTTTGATGATCTCATCCACTCCCACATCTTCAGCTAACATCTTTCCGGGGACAACTCCCAAATCCCCATTAGCCCTGTGCACTTCTCTGCTTTGATCCATATGTATGTCTGGTGGAAGCACAAGCCTAGCATGGCCAAATGTGCCCCCATCCACAGGCGGAAGAAATAAGATCAATTTAGATATCGAAAGTAAAGACCTATAGAGTATGTCAGCTTAAGACGTCAGGGAAATCCCCTTTATGCTGGTTATTATCCAACTTTTTTTTTTTTGAAGATGATAAGAGAGAAAGAACTTACATGAAAGAAAAAGTATTTCAAAATAATGACCCTCAAGATGTTTTCTTGGTTTGGGTCCCCTGATTTCCTCACTTGATATTTTATGCTTCCAGGATAACACTAACTTTACCTTTAACTAAATCTTCCTCTTAGTTCTCTGTTTATGATGGCTGACCCAAGTTTTCAAGGCAAAGGTAAGATCACTTCATATAAAAACTACCAAATGAACAGATAATCTTAACCACACAAGTGTGTATAATGGAGCTTTGTTCTCCCTCTTTATTCACTCATTATTTGATCTTGGCAGCTTGCACAGCCTACAGTTAGATAGTGACACATAGTTTATACTCTGTAACAGCAACTCTATGAGGAAGGTAGTTCAAAGATCAGTCTCCCCCCTTTACAGAAAAGGAAATGGAGATTCAGAGGGGTGCTGTTGCTTGCTTGTGATCATACAGCTAGTAAATGATGAAATAAGAATTGAAATCTAGGCTTTCTGATTTAAATTCCAGAACCTCTTATTAAACCACTATGATTTGGCATTCTGAGTCACCCTCCTGCTTAACTCTGCAGAAGCAGAGAGCCCAAGACTGGAACTGGAGTAGTCGGGGGCTCTGAGTTTGTTATAAAGTAATTATAGGTAGCTGTCAGTCTCTCCCTGTGCCCCTTTCTCTCATCTTAGTAGACCACTCCTTCCCTCCAAGCACACCACCTTGTGACTGCATGTAGATAACTGAGCAGGAAACGTAGAAACCACATCACTACCCATTACTTTCCTATATGTTGAGATAGGAGCAAAAAAATAAGGGCAGCTGAGTGGCATAGTAGATAGAGCTGCCATGTTGTGTACTCTAGCGCATCATTCAGGGCCTTGTTCTTCCTGGTGATCTGACCTAGAAACTTCTAGAGTCTCAAAGCATATGCTAGCAGAGCACCAACTTTGGCAGATGATGCCATCATGGAAAGATTCCAAGTGTGGTCCTACATCTGCTTTCTGAGGATCAGCCTATGTCATCAATAGAAATATCCATCAGTCTTATGGGGTGTTCTGCTTCTAAAGTAATGGAGACAGAAAGGAGAAAAGGGGGACAGAGGATGCTAGCTTTTTAAGAAGATCACATAGTTTTTAGACTGTCTTTACATATTAAGCATTAGTATTCCCAATGTCAGCTCCTCGTCCAATGACTAACAACTGGGAGTACTATGAGAGGAACTGAATTATAGCAATTTTGACATCTTTATATGAATGAAACTGGGAGAAAAGGCAGTTCAGCTAAATGGAAGGATGGTTCCCATGCTTTCCTTGGAGAAGCAAAGGAGAGAGTGGAGGTGGTTTTAGCACATGTATCCAAAGACAAGAAGACATGTCAAGTCACGGGCTATTCTGTCACTATATGTTGCAATATTCATTATAAGCATTTGCAAAAAAGAAAAGGCCACTGTGAAAATAATTGCAGCTTGTATGCCAATATCTATTGCAAAGGATAAAACAGAAAAATCTGCCAAGAATGCTATAAGACTTTTCATATTAAATGAATATACAGTTGAAAATGTTATGACTTTCTATGCAAAGGTGGGCAAATGGGAGGAGTGTAAAAATATATATTGGAAAACATGGTTCAGGAGTAAGAAATATTAGAAACCAAAGATTCATGGACTAGAGAGCAGCCCCATACTTTGTGTCATAAACACTTTTCAGAGTCAAGAGGTAGTGAAAAGGAGGAAAATAAAGTGACAACTCACAAAAAAAGAAATTGATTATGTTTTAACATATGTTGTTCAGTCATATCAGACCCTCCATGACCCCATTTGGGTACTGCAGCTGTTTCTCATTTCTTCTCTAGCTCATTTTTACAGATGAGGCAAACTGAGGAAATGATTAAGTGACTTGCCCAGGTCCACACAGCTATCAGTGTCTGAGGCTGGATTTGAACTCAGGAAGAAGAGTTTTCCTGACTCCAGGCCTAGCACTCCATCTACTGTGCCACCCAACTGCCCCTGTTTTAACATACAGTAAATTACTGAATAGTGATCTGGTTTCCATATTTCCTGTTCAATTATCCACATACAGTCAGACTACTACTGCTAGAGCAGCACTGTTGAACAGGCAAAAAAAAAAAATAGGGGGCAGCTAGGTGCGCAGTGGATAGAGCACCAGCCCTGAAGTCAGGAGGACCTGAGTTCAAATCCAACCTCAGACCAAACACTTGACATTTCCTAGCTATGTGACCTGGGCAAGTCACTTAACCTCAATTGCCTAAAAGCAAAACAAAACAAAACAAAAAATGGACCATCAACAAAAAATTGAAATATTTTTAATTATAAAGTAATCTATGAAGTACTCACAAGAAGAGAAAGGATATATCAGTAATCTCCATTTTCATCTCCTAAATATGCTTCTTCTCTTGTCCATATGGAATAGGTCTTCTGGGGCCAAATATATTATGCAACTTGAAATACTGCTTTGGTATGATTCATAGTTATGTCTGGTTTGTGATAATTTTAGATAAAAACCATAAGCAATCCAGACAATGAAAACCAGCTTTGAAATGTGCCAGGCAAAGCACTAAGGGAGGGAAATCCAGCTCAGCAACTTAGCTCCTACTTGTTTGAGATTGAGCAAGTGATTTCTACCCTTTGGATCTCAATGTCCTCTCATTGGACTAGGTTACCTTTGAGGTACCTTTCCACTTTAATATTCTATATTCTAAGGTTTCTTCTAGGTCAAATGATTTTATGGTTCTATTACACATTATTTTGCATTTTCAAAGTATTCTACAAACTATGAACTGTGAAATTAATTATTCTATTTTTTAAAAATGTTTCTCAACAACATCTTGTATAAATAATGTGTGGCCTATTGCATTTAAAATGAGGGTTGATATTTTGATCGTTTGGCAAAATTGTGACCAATTTCACATTTATCTTTAAAGGGCAGAAAGTAAGCATGCACCCACCCTCACTCCAGAGATCCCCCCAACCAGCACATGACAGCCTTCTTGAGGATAAGCCTTTGCATACCAGTTTGCATCAGAAGAAGTCAGGTCATGGCAAATCCAACAAAAAGGTAATAAATCTCATCATTAAGTTTAGAGTTTTTCCAAGGGAAGTCAGTGCCAACTAGACTCTTTCGGGAGGAAGCATTTGAACAAAATTCTGATAAACAGCTAGATTTTTCCTCTTCTCCAGCTTTTCCTTCTCAGCCTTCAATAAACAGTCTTCCCATTATTCAGGTTCTATCCCTCACCAGTCAGGTAATCTTGAGCACATCACTTTTTTTAAAAATTATTTTTTTAGTTAACAAGCATTTGTTGTCTCTCCCTCCAAACCTTATCTCCCCCCCCCAAAAAAAGAAAAAGAAAACCCATGCAACAAATATGCATAGTCAAGTAAAACAAATTCCCACATTGACCATGTTCTAAATATATATGTCTCATTTTGCATATAGAGTCCATCACTTCTCTGTCAGGAGGTAAGTAGCATTCTTCATCATAGGTCCTCTAGTCATTGCATCGATCAGTTTTTAAATGAGCATATCACTTCTTTATGGTATAATGGAAAAGTACTAGATTTAAAGTTAGGAGACCTGGATTCCAATCCTGAGTCTTTGAGTTGCTGCCATGTAACATTGGCAAATCATTTCCTCCTCAGTCTCAGTTTCCTTATCTGCAAAATGAAGAAGTTGTCCTTAGGGGTCACTAAAGACCCTTTTCAGCTCTCATAGACTATGAATGACATCTACGAACCTTACTTTCCTAACCTATGAGAAGGGAATGTGATCCCTGCCTGAGCTTTCTCTTGGGTTTCTTACAAGGAAGCATCTTGGAAAGAGTCCTTAAGTACCAGCAATTAAGCTGGAGTAATATTTTCTGCTTTGCAATGAATACTTGTATGTATTCTCTTTTTTCATCTTAATTTTTAATTAACAAGCATTTATTTTTCTCCTTCATTAGAAGGAAAAACCTTTTTACACATACTTTGCATATATTCTTATGCAATAACAGTTGACATTTATAGAACGCTTTATTTAGAGTACTTAGTACATACAAAATCACAGTAACTTGGGGAGTTCTGTAGCACATATAATATTCACCCCATTTTTAATATATCAAGAAACTAAGGCTCAGACAGGGGAAGTGAAAATAGGTCACACAAAGAGTAATGGCAGAGAGCTTAAGCCCAAATGTTCTGACTCCTAAGTCAGCATTCTTTCTACTATACCCAAGAATCCTTCTCTTTTTGGATAGTTTCATATGGTATTTTCCTGGTTTTCTATTTTAGACTCCTCAGCCTTCATCCTTTACATTGCTCTATTCTCCTGTTACCTCTTATCCTTTTCAAAAAACCTTTTTCTGTGTAGTATTCCCCTTTCAGACTTTAAGCAAGGTCAGTTGGAAGTTTTCCCATCAATTATTGTCTTCTGTCTTTTATCCTAAAATATGAAGATAATCTAGTCTATTTCCCTAATTTGAAAGGGGAGGAAACAAGTGCAGAGACATTAAGTGATCTGTCCACATTCAAGCCGGCAGCAATGAACATGGGTAGAATTTGAACCTTGGATTAGTTAGCCACGTGATCTTCAGAAGAAATAAGTTCATGAATGAACCATTCTGTTCAATTCAGTAACTATCTACTATACATCTACCTGGAAAGATGCTAGTTTTTGAGAATAGAAAAACAAAAATGAAAGTCTCTGCTCTCAAAGAGATTACACTCTATTGGAGGGGAAAAAACAACTTGTACATGGAGAAGTAAAATTTAAAGAAATATACACAATAAGTACAAAATGAGACTGCATAGCATAGTGGATAGAGAGTTAGCCTTTGATAAGGAAAGCATAAATTTCAGTCTCTCCCCAGACACAAAGTGTCTGGGTGACCCTGCCATAGTCTCACTTTCTCTCTAAGGCTGAAAGGTGCCTAGCTGCATTTGTAAAGGGACCTTCCTCCTCTGGGAGTTCCCCACACCAATGAAATCACTGGTCCAATTGTTGTTCTTAATTTCCTGGGGCAAGTTGGGGTAGGTGGAGGAATAACAATAGTAACTTCTTTAAAGTTTAAAAAGCTCTTTCCTTACAACAATAGGAATTAGGTAAATGGTTTAAGAATTATCATCCTCCTTTTGCAAACTAGGAAACTGAATCTCATAGAGATTAAGTGAATTATTCAAAGTCACATAACTAATTAGGGCCTCTAGCTGTGAAGTAAACAAAAAACTGAGGATCTGGCTTCAAATTATGCCTCTGCTAGTTACTAACCTTAAGCAAATGTCCTCATTTGGAAAAGGAAGGGATTGGGTTAAACTGTCTATATTCAGTCTAAGATGCAGTGACAGGAACTAAGGTTTGCTAAGTTCCATCTCATGATCCTTTTTATAAAAACTCAGGAGTACAGACCAAGAATCCTCATTGGCCTTTCTTCTCCCTGTAGTTTAAAATACTGAAGCATTTTAGTTCTACTTTTATGACTTTGGATTGTGCACGTGGGTGTGCGCAGCACGTGTGTGTTCTTATGTGTGTTTACTCTTGCTCTAGATTCTCAGAAACAATAAAAATTCACATTCTTCTTCTGTTATTGTCAAAGAGAAATCATCTGCATTAGCTACAACTAGGGTCAAATTACAAATCATTATGCTCCTTGCCCCTTTAGGCTCTGCTTTTCTTCAATTTCATAAATTCATTAAAATTACATAATGTCAGAATTTCAATGGACCTTAGAACATTGAATGTCAAATCTGAATGGACTTTAACAAATAATACAGAATATTATTGTGAGGAATGCCCTTGGAACATAATTAGAAACTTTAAGGATTCACTAACCCTATATAAGGATCCCTTCAGGCCACATATCAACTTGGAAAACCATATGTTAACATATGTTAACAATATCTATTGGAGCAGTTAGATGATGCAGTGAATAGAGCATCTTCCTGATTCATTTTCCTGAGTTCAAATCCCGCCTCAGACATTTACTAGCTATGTAACCCTGGGCAAGTCACTTAACCCTGTTTGCCTCAGTTTCCTTATCTATAAAATAAGCTGGAGGAGGAAATGAATAGCAAACCAATCCAGTATTTTTGCCAAGAAAACCCCAAATGAGGTCATGAAGAATCAGACAAGACTGAACAACAACAAATATTCTATTGTATTTTTATTTATGTTATCAAATATTTCCCAATTGCATTTTAATCTTGGTTCAATTGTATTCCATGCCTCTGATCTACTCCCCTTAATTTTATATCTGATATTTATCTTCTTCAGAGAGAGTCTCCAGATCACAGACACAACAGGGACCAACAACAGGTATGTGCTGGTAAATGTTTAACAAATTATATACTTTTAAGTTTCATTGGAATTATTGACATTTTCTTCATCACTTTCTTAAGTCTCTATCAACAAAACACTCAATCTCCAGTCTGTAGTTTGTTGCTTTCTAAAGTTTATATATTCACATTAAAAATTTAACAATTGCCTTAAGGAGCTGGCTTCAGCACATCCCACCCCTACATGTGTATCCTTCTGCACTCCCTTTGTGGCTTTAGACTTTACTTCTGCATGTACCCACCCATCAAGCATGAGTATGCCAGTTGAACATCCAGAACTGCTTTCCTGAAAAGTCCTTTTTTCAAAAAAGGAATATTAAATAAACAAAAAATTGCTGATTCCAAAATAATCATAAAAGAAGAAATCTTGTAAATCAATTGTGATAAAACTGAACAATTTTAAAACAGTTGATTAATAAATTTAAAAGCTCTTTAAGAAAAAAATCATCATCCTATTAGCTAATTTGATTTAAAAAAATAAGGAAAATAACCAAAATGAAAAAGGAGGAGGAATTCACAATTAATGGAAAGTAAAGAAAATTTTCATAAACTACTATAACCTATTATGTATCAACAAAACTTAAAATTTAAATGAAATGTAACAAATATTTACAAAAATATAAAATGTACAAGATAATAGGAGCTAAAGGATTTTATTACAGAAAGAGAATCATAGAAAAAGCAAACCATAAATTCTGGGGGTTAGGGGAACAAACTTCTAAGACAGGAAGATTTATAAGTGAAGTCTATCAAAAATTTAACAACGCTAGGACTGATGAAATATTTTAAAGTTTGTAAACATTTTATACATATTATCTCATTTAAACAACAAATAATCCCTTAGCTGCATAAACGTCTTTTAAGAGCCCCTTTTATGACACAAATATAGCCCTGATATCCAAACCAGGAAAGGATTAAGTAGTGAAAGAGAATTATAGACAAATATCATTAATATTTAGAGAGAGAGAGACAGAGACAGACAGAGACAGAGAGGGACAGAGAGAGAATGGCACAAGATTCAGGCTCAACGACAGGAAGACTTGGTTTAAGTCCCATCTCCAACATATATTGGCTGTATGGGCTGGGAAAGTTATTTAACCTAACTTTCTAAGACTATACACTATATATGAGGGAATTTTCTCAATGAGAGTTTCTAATATGAATGGAATCACATATCCAGTTCCCACACACACACACACACACAAAAGACTAAGTAAAATACTGGCAAATAGATTATAGCAATGTATCCAAAAATTACTCATAGTTTATTTTATTTTGTGGCAGAAATGCAGGGATAGTTCGATGCTAAGAAAAAGTAGTGTTATGAATCACATTAAAAACAGAATCAATTAAAATATTATGATTATATGGATAATGTAAAATATTTTATGAAATATAGCATAACTTACTTTTTTAAAAAAACATGAGAATGGTTAGTCATTAAAGGATTTTTAAAAAATATTTAGCAAAGTATTTAGCAAAAACTAAGAGTGAGCATGACTTGTAATAGAAAAAGACTGGAAGTATTCCCATTTAGATCAGTCATGATACCCACTCTTACCATTATTAATTGACTTAATATTAGAAATGCTAGACACAAAATTAGACCAGAAAAACAAATTCAGAGAATAAGCATAAGGAAAGAGGAGGCAAAAAAAACCCCTTTAGTTGCAGACAATATGTTTCTGATAGCCTCACCTCCTTCAATAATCTAATCATCTTGTTCTCTTCTAGATCTGTGATTTCTGCTATTAAATGATTCACTTTTTCTTTCTTGGATCTTTAGCCTATCATTAGCCCATCTCCTTTCCCTGTGTTCTGTATTTCTAATTTTTTAAATAGTCCTACTAAAAAAAAAATCTTCTCTTAACAAGCTGCGTAACTTTGGGTAAGTCACTCAGGCTTTTTGGGCCTCAGTTTCCTCATCTGTAAAAAAAGTCTAAATGATCTCAAAGACTCCCTTACCATTCCAACAGTGTATGATCCTATCTGGAATTTCTCTTTAGCATTATCTTTATCTATTTCAAGTCATTCTATAAATACTTAATTCACTATTCTGTTCAGAGCACTGTGCTTAGCACTGGGAGAAGGCTGGACCTAAATTCAAGAAGTTTAGTGTCCAGTAGGGGAATCAATCCAGAAAACTATAATACATAATACAAGTTACGTGCATGAGAGAGTTACACACCAAAGGACCATATGGAGTCTGAGGGGAAAGATTGTTATTCACCAAAGGAATTATGGAAGCCTGTTCATTGAGGAAGTGGCATTTGAATTGACTTTTTAAATTATGAGCAGGACATCAACAAATGAAGAATGGACAGAGGATAACCCAACCAGAGGAAATAACTTTAATATTGGTCAGAAAATTGCTAATACAATGACAGAAAATTGTTAAAAACCAAATGTAATGTTATTTGCCACTCCCTTAATGATCCTAGTAATGTCAGAATTTCAGTAAAGTCTTTAAGTTCCTACTCTTAAGATATTTAATGTCTATGAGGTGGTGCTAAACCACACCCTCAATGCTCCCACCCAGAGATTTTACCTCATAAAGTAACCTAGCTTAAGCTGCATCTCAGCTTCTAATGTCTTTGTCCCCTTCCTTTGGGATTCATGGCGTGAAGGGCAAAACAGCCAGAATGAAGTGGTTTTCCTTGCCCAGACTGCCAAAGGCAACTGGGGTCTCATGACCACGCCTTGCTACTTCATACTACCTCCCCTCTCCTTAGAAAAGTATAAAGAAACCTTTTTGTGGGTCTCTGGTTTGGGAAATCCATTATTTTCTATACTCAAGGGACATCCCCCAGAGTGGTAGTTTTGCTACTCTGTCATTTTAATTAAAGATGCTTTGTTCCTCAACTCATGACTTTGATTTATTTCAGGACTTCATATATGCAACAGAAAACTCTTGATTATCTTCTTTTTTCAAGGCCTTGCGTACTAGAATACAAGATTATAAATAGAGGAGCTCAAATGTATCAGAGGAGATAAGATATCCACAGATAACTTTTGATAACTTTGGGATTTAGAAGCTCCCAAGGACATTCTCTATTCTGGCCCAAGTAATTCAACACAACCATACATTTCTGTAAATCTGTATGATGTTTTCATATATTTCTGTCAGCATGGCAGAGGGGAAAAAGTCCTGGACTTACAGAAAGTAGGGTTCAAATCTAAGCCCTACTGTTTTATAATCATTGACCACTTTTCTGAATTTAGTTCCATTGTCTGTAAACTGGCATATACAGTTGCTATCCTTACAGTATTTTTGTAAGGGTTAAATAAGATAATGTATGCAATAAAATACTTCATAAACAACAAAAGACCATAGAATTATGAGTTTTTGTAATTGCCAAAGTATCAGATTGGCTTTCCTGTTAGATAGATGAGATCCATAGGCTTCAGAAGTCTGCCAAAGAGGTCTATGAAATGAAGAAGTTTAAGAATCCCTGGTCTAAGACAAAAAGGAAAAAAGGATTTTATCAGAGAGTATTTTTTCTTTTCTTTTCTTTTCTTTCTTTCTTTTTCTTTTTTTCTTTTTTTTTTTTTGGTTAGGCAATGGGGTTAAGTGACTTGCCCAGAGTCACACAGCTAGTAAGTGTTATGTGTCTGAGGCTGGATTTGAACTCAGGTCCTCCTGACTCCAGAGCAGGTGCTCTATCCACTGTGCCACCTAGCTGCCCCGAGAGTATTTTTTACTGAGAAGTTTGATTAAGTAGGGATAAGGTTTCCTTCCTTCAGGTAAGTCCAGAAAGGATTTTAGATTAGAGAAATATTTACTTCATAATATTTTCAGTTGAACTAAAAAGGAAACTTTAATATTCTTCCACAATACTAATCAGTCAACAAAGGTCTAGTAAGCACCAGTTATGTGCAAGGTCCCATCTGATTACTGAGGGATTTACAAAGATGTGCCAAACTTAGTCCCTACCATCAAGTTATTGACACCAGAAAAAAGAACTAACACCATCAGGTAACAGTTGCCAAGTCCCAAACAAGTGAAACAAGACAGTGAGTGCCCTGGAAAGAAGCAGTGTGGTCTTCCAGAAGGAGCTTGAGCTGAAGAAGGGTGCTGATATTTGTATATCAATGGCTTCTTCAGGCTCTAAAAGTCATTCATTGTTTCCTCTTAAACTTCAGGCTTCCAACCAGCATGAGTGGTATTTTGGAGAATTAAGCCGACAGGAAGGGGAAGAAGCTTTGATGGAGGAAAACACTGTAAGTATAGCTTGCACTTCAGATGCCATACAGCTCCAGGACTATCTGGCCTGGGGGTTTCTGACCTTTATGGCAAGGATAGAATAGTCAGTCAATAAGCATTTATTAAGCACTTATCCTGATAATCTCCAATTTGTCACATAACTGTAGATGTAAGCACAGGGGTAGAGGAAGAGGTACAGGTAGCGGTCAGTGAAGATATAGAGATAGATAGATGATATAGATCTATTTTGGTTGTACACAGTTGTAAGTATAAATGTACCTATAAAATGTAGAGAAAGCAGAAGCAAGGCGATCTGAGAAAAGAAGGCTAGAGAATTTGGAGAGAAGGCTGTTTAATCAATTAACAAGAATTTAGGTTTTTAGCAAGTTCCAGGTTATATTAGGCATTGTGGATACAAAATCACTGAAATAGTCTCTCCATAAGGAACCTATACTGCAATAGGGGGAGACAACAACATATATGTGTGTGTGAATGATAAATATATATTCATATATATTTCATATAGAGAATCTATTCACATATACCTACATATATGTAGGTGTGTGTGTGTGTGTGTATATTATATATATATATATTAATGCTTCACACACAAATATATGTGCATGTGTGCAGTTTACATATACATAGAAACAGAAATACATAATATAAATATGAAGTGAATAAGTACAAATATATACAAAACAGTTGAGGCAAAAGGACACTAGCGATTGAGGGGAATCAGGAAAGGCTTAATGTAGAAGGGGGTACCCGAGCTGTGTCTTATTAAAGGAAGAGAGGGTGTCTGTGAAGCAAAGGTTTAAAAAAATAAGGGTGAATTGCAGGCATGGCCTATGCAAAGGCACAGAGGCTAGATGAAGTATCCTGAGTGAAGAGTAGAAAGAAAGCCAATTTGGCTGGATCACAGAGTGCTGGGAGGGGAGCAAGGTCCAGTGAAGCTGAAAAGATAGATAGAAGCCAGTTTTTGTAGAGTTTTACAAGCTAAACAGTTTATTTTTTCATCCCAGAGGGCACTGGAGTTGATTAAGAAGGGGTCAGATTTCACTTAAGGAAAATTATTTGGGCAGCAGTGCACAAAATGGATTCGAGTGTGAGAGACTTGAGGCAAAGAAACTAATTCAGAGGCTGTTGTAGTAATGTAGGTGAGAGGTGATGAGGGCCTGGGCTGAGGAGGTAGCTGTGTGAAGGGAACAAAGGGATGCTGGGAAGGTAGAAATGATAAGATTTTTAAAAAATCTTATTTAAATTTAAATATTATTTTTAACAGTTATCAAGCATTCTCTTCCTCCTCCCCCACCTCCTATCTACTGGGGGAAAAATAGAAATAAATATGGAATCTCTCTATCACATAAACATAGTCAAGCAAAACAAAACCTCACATTGGTCATGTCCAAAAATGTGTTTCTTATTTGGCATATTAGTCCATCATCACTCTGTCATAAAATGGGCAGTGTTCCTCTTTATCACTCCTTTGCCATGATGATTATCACTTAATTGATTAGAATTCTTAAGTCTTTCATAATTGATCTTTTTTTGTAATTTTTATCTTAAAGTAAAAATTGTTCTTCTGGTTCTGCTCATTTCACTCTCCGTCATTTCATGCAAGTCTTTGCCAGTCTCTTTGAAACTGTATTTTTTCTTAATTTCTTATCATATGATAGTGGCAAGATTTGGCAAGTAATTTGATGTGTGAAGTGAGGGAAAGTGATGAGTTACCAAGCAAGGCACAGATAATGAAATAAATTACCCCAGAATAAAAAACAGGGGGGGAAAAACCTAAAAAGAGAAACACATAGATAAGGTTAAAAACCAGCAACAACAACATAACAACATTGGGATCACTGAGAGGTTTCTTTCTGAAACTACATAAGGATATAAAGATAAAAGAAGAATGTAAATGGAAGAACTGATGATAGAGAAACAAGTCTGAAACATCATGGACTAAACCTCACAATATTTTGTAGACTAAACCACAGAAAGAGAAAGTATAAGAAAGGGAATAGGGGAAGAAGAAGTTGGGGGGAGTACTTAATGTGCCCAATTAAGATAATGATAAACAATGAAAGGAAAAATAAGTCCTATAGTCTTTAAGGAAGACAATGGCCAACAGAAAAATAGGTGAGGACTGAAAGATTTAAATGGGGGAAAGAGGGGTAGAAGGGGTAGAAGGGAGTCTAATTCAGTAGTATGAAGGAAGGGGTCCCATTGAAGAATGCTCCCATGGGGGAAAAGGGATATTCTATAATGGCAGATGGGGGCCTTACATTGGGTATAATCTGCAGAGATTTGGTGCTTAGAGAGACCATTACCTCCAACAGAGTTGTGTGCCTCTGTGGACAGAATCCTGTATCAAGAGAAGAGGAATCTGAATTCCTGGAAGCAACTGACACCAAAAAGAGAGAGAATGTATAGATCCAGAAAGGAGATTTAATGGCCAAAGAGGGAAAATTAGCATATGGAGATCAAAAGGAAATATTCTTACCACGGAGCAACATTTCTATCCTCTCTATCTCCTGCAGGTATTGATATTTCTAAGAGTGAGGCACAACAGAAAATAAAGGTTGGAGGAGGAAGAGGGCACAAGATCTATAAGGCAACAATACAGAAACTTTAGAAGAAGGAAGTCAAAATAGGTACCTAGAAGCTTTAATTCCATTAGTGATACAGAGACTTAGGGAATGAACAAATAACTACATAGGTCATAAATCAAAGAATAAAAATCTAAAATACACAAGGGAAAGAAAAATATCAAAGAGAATGAGGGAAAGAAATCCAATGGGGAGGGGGGGAGGTACAGAAAATGAAATAAAAATCTAACAACCAAAACAAGTTGAAAAGGAGGAGAGGAAGAAATATTTAACTTTACTACTCAACTGAAAGAAAAAAGAAGGGAAAAATGAAGAAGAAGGAGGAGGAGGAGAAAAGGAAGAATTAAGCCAAACTCCAAAACTAGAGAGAAAGGTCATTAAGGGGGTAGAGGCAAGGAAAAGAGCTGTACATAAAGGCCAGAGAACTGCTACTGCCTTCATAGAGGAAAAACAATAAAAAAGAAAATCCTAATTCCAATAAACCCAAAAATATTAAAGGTAAATTAATGAAATTATAAACCTAATTCTCATAATTTAAAATTTGAATAGGTTAAATAATACAATTAAACAAAAAACTGAAAGATTGGATAAGAAACCCAAACCCAACAATCTGTTGCTTACAACGAACTTATATAAGAAACAAAGAAATAGACAAAATAAAAAGGAGGGGTTAGAACATAATTTACTATGCATTTGGATGAATTCAAAAGAGTTGCAATCATGCTATCAAACAAAGCAGAAAATAAAATTTTACAACACAAAAAGAAATAAACAAGTAAACATTATGCTGAAAGGAATCTTAGACAAACCAATATTAATATTAAACTTACATGCTCTAAATGCATTAACATCTAAATTCGCAAAGGAAAAATCAACTAAATTATAAGAAGACATAGACAATAATACAACAGTAGCTAGATAGCTTAATGTCTCTCTCAATTTCAGACAAATCTAACAGAAAGAAAAACAAAAGGAAAATTTTAGAACAGATTTCCGGAGAAACTAGAACTAAAAGACTTAAGATCTTCTAAATGGGATTATGAAAGAATATACATATTTCAAGGCACTGTATTTAACTTTTACAAAAATTGACCATGCATCAGGACACAGGAGTATTACAAAAAAATGTAAAAAGGCAAAATAGTAAACACTTCCTTTACAGACCATAACACAATTAAAATAGAAGTCAATTCAGAGAGAAAAAAAGAGACAGACAGATCAAAATAGAGACTTAATGAAATCTTAAATAACTAATGGGTCAAATATCACCTCAGAAACAATTGATAATTATCTGAAAGAAAACCAGGGGGAAAACATATCCCTAAAACATACATAATTGAAATAGGGAGAAAAAGAGTATCATTGAAGTGAATATACATTAAAAAAATTTTTTAAACAAATTAATAAACCTAATTAATAGAAGTACAGAAGAAGAAATATTTTAAAATATTGGAGAAATAAACTGAAAACAAAAGAAACCCTACACAAATGATCAAACTAAAAGCTGGTTCTTTGAAAAGACTAACAACAGTTGAAAAACCTTTGGCAAATCTGATTTAAAAGAAGACAGCAGAAAAACAAATTAGCAATATAGCAAAGGAACAAGGGGATACCATGGCAAAACCAGAAGAAATAAAAAGAATCATCAGAACTTGTTATGCACAGTTATAAGCTAACAAAACTGAGAACACAAAAGAAATCGAGAAATACTTTCTAAAATATGAAGTACTCAAACTAAGAAAAGACCAGATAGAGATCTTATATAATACAATCTCAGAAAAAGAATTATAGCTAAAAGGAACTACCAAAGAAGATATACTACTGGTACTGATGGAATTACAAGAGAATCCTATAAAAACCTTTAAAGGACAATTAGCACTAATTTTATGCAAATTATTCTCAAGCATTGAGGAAGAAAACATTCTCCTAATTACTTTTTATGAGACCAATATAATCCTAATACCTAAACCAAGGAAGGATCATGTACAGAAGGGAAATTATAGACCAATATCGTTAATGAATATTAATACAAAAATTCTAAATAAAATACTGTCAAGAGAATACAGCAATTCACTGAAGAAATAAGTCATTATGACTAAGTTGGATTTATACCAAGGATGGTTCAACATTAGGAAGATAATTCACATAATTAGTTATATTTAAAAGAAAAACATCCAAAACTACATGAGGATCTCATTAGAGATAAAAACATACTGCTTGAATTGTTACTTAATCTTTTTTTTCCCCTAGCTCTCTCCTGTACTTTTCTGCCCCCTCTAGCCTCTATCCAATGGTACAGGTCATCTTTCACTCATGGAATACATTTCCTTCTCATCTCTGTCTATTAAAATACTTCTCTTCCTTTCAACTCAAATACTACCTCCTTCATGAAGCTTTTCCCTGATTCCCTAGTAAAGTGTTCTTTCCCTCTTCGAATTTCTCTATAGACTGTAATCTGGATCCCTTTTCTGCTAAAATGCCCTACCTCATTTTTTACTTATTCACACATGTATCTTATCTACCCACCTCCCATTCCAATAAATTATAAACTTCCTGAAATTATGAACTAGGTCTTTTTTTTTTCTTCTCACATTTGTATCTCTAGTACCCAGCACAAAGCCTTGCACATATTTTGATATTCCAATGGATCTACGACCCCATTGGTGTGGGTGCAACTCTAGTGGTAGAGCAGAAAAGATCACTGGTTCTGAAGAGGACCTGGGTTCAAATCCTGCCACTGATGGTTATTGCCTGTGTGACCTTGGTCAAATTGCTTAACCTCCATGTGCCTCCATTTCCTCATCTGTAAAATAAAGAGGTTGAAGTAGATGGCCTCTGAGATCCCTTTCAGGTATACCTGTATCAACCTATGAGATCAGCCTGGCCATTCACACAGGAAAAGCTAAGTGGATAAAGACTACCTCAAACATAGAAAATGCTTGATAAATATTTGCTTCTGACAGGAAAATGCATACTAATTCAACAAAGGAGCAAGATTTAAAGGTGTGGCTTGTTTACTCAATGAAAATCACAATTCAGTGCTGCAAACCAAGATGATGATGATGATGATAACTCATATTTGTTTAAGAGGAAGGGGAATGAGCATATTTTAAATGCCTACCATGTGCCAGGCTCTGTGCCAAACACTTTGTAAATATCTCATATGTGCTTATATGTGCAACAGGATTTCAATGGACATAAACTGTGAGGCAACATTGTATTGCTAGAATTTGACTTAGAATCAGAAAGAACAGGTTTCATTATCGGTGGCTACAAAACTTGAAGGACACAAAAACTTTAACATATGTCATGCTTTAGGCACTATGGTAATTAATTCTCCCTTCCACTCAACTGAATTTAACTTAATTACTTTTTTTTAATTTTCACATCACAAATTCTTGATGTTGTTTTAATGATTCACTGGGTTTCTTGCTGCTTGCCATGGCCCCAATCTTTGAGGCTTATTCTGGTTAAAGTCACAATGTTTTCACTGCAGAGTAACTTGCTGGCAGACCCATAAGTGGTAGGAATATTTGTGTAATAAAGATAATTTTACCTTGTATTTGGTAAGCCTTTTTGCCTGCAGCTGTAGGGGAAAGAGGAGGACCAACTATTTTGACATTTGGAAGTAAAATGTATAAATCAGAAGAGGGAAAGTGACATTGTATCGGTTACCAATTTCTATTGGCAATATTTTAAAGAGCTCCTGATTATAATATAATGGAGGAGTAAAGTCATAAGGATACTGATGTTTAAGGAAGCTGTTCTGATGAACAGTTGAGCTAGCTGTCTGTAGTTTTCTGGTAAACTGCTGCCTTGGGGAAAATATGATGAAGCAGCACTTTTGGAAAAGTTCCCTTATTCCCAAAGCATCTTGTTTATAACAGAGCTATGAGATAAAATGGTGGTCCCAAGAATACCACTGCAAGGGACTCACTTTCACCTTGTGTTTTTTTTTTGGACTTTTTTCTAGATATCTCTCTATCTTTTTAACTGCTTTCAGAGGCAACTAGGTGGTATGACAGATAGGAACCTGAATTCAAATTCAGCTGCAGATACTAGCTGGGTGACTCTGGGCAGCAGGTCACTTAACTTCTATTTGTCTCAGTTTTCTTAACTCAAAAATGGGGATAATAATAATAATAATAATAATAATACCTACTTCCCAGGGTGGTTGTGAGGATAAAATGAGCTAACATTTGTAGTGTTCAGCACAGTCCCTGACATATGGTAGGTACTTAATAAACACTGTTTCCTTCTGTCCTTTTAACCAATCAAGGATCATTTAATACAATTGTAGTGCATTTGTTATATGAGTATTAAACTAATCTACTCTATTAGGGAAGAGAAACAGTAAGAATACACCCTTGAAAGGAAATGAGCATAAATCTAGTCTTGCCCTCTCTAGAGAAGATGAAACAGTCTCTGTCATGATGTTGATACTCTCAAATATTGGGGAGGGGGAGTAGATGCATTTTGTACCAGGGGTGGTAGTAAAATTGAAGTCCTGGAACATTCAGGCTTGCTAGTAGATGGACATTTGTTGGGCTCCATTGGGGATTTTTTTTAATACATTAATAATTTATGATTTAAATGTGCATAATGCCTAAAAGTTCACAGATATTATTTATGTATGCCTCATATCAGCCCATGAGAGTTCAGTACATGAGCATTTTTATCATCATTTTAAAAATGAAGCTGTGGCTCAGAGGGGTCTGCCCAAGATTAAATACCTCATAACAATGGAACTGGCCCTTTTGACTACAAGTGAAGCTCTTTTTCAGCTTTTCCATTATATCTTTCAGAAAACTCTCACTGAAATTCTGTTGTGTCTCTCAGCTTTCCATTACACAAATATGAGTGGATATCATCATTGTTGATGTCATTGTCATTATCATCATCACACTTTTTCCATTTCCTCCCATAACCCCTCAAATCCATCTTTCAAACCACTGCCAGCCTAATTTTCCTTATGCGTAGATCTGGTCATGTGATTTTTCTACTCAAAAATCTTCTGTGGTTCCCTACTGCCTTCAATGAAAGGTTCATATTCCTTTACCTGGTACTCAAGACCTTACCCAACATGGCAGTATCCTACCTCTATCTCATATTATGCCTCTTCATTCCACCTTTTGAGCTTCAGTTTTCTCATCTACAAAATATAGATAATAATGCTTACAGTGCTCAGTGTTATGAGGAATATTCTTTGTAAGGCACAGAATAAATAAGGTGTTCTCATTATTATCATATAGATTTTAGATATGGTTTCATAATTGAGAAATGACCAAGTTTCTTCAGTGCCTTTAGAAGGCAAGTCCAGATTTTAAATGCTAGGAATCTGTCACCACTAAAGAACTGACATTATCATTCCTTTACTTCAGGAGGGGACCTTCCTGGTCCGAGATGGCTCCAAGAAATCAGTGGCTGAACCCTATGTTTTGGTGGTGTTTCATAGGGAAAAAGTATATAACATTAAGATCCGTTTCCTGGAGAGGAGTCAGCAGTTTGCCCTTGGGACAGGAGTCAGAGGAAATAATGTGAGTGAAATAGCATCTTAAAGCCTGTGTGGGTGCCCATGTGATGCCTTTACCCTTCTATTTGTTTTTGTTTTTTTTCCAACTGATAGTACAATGGCTCTCCCTAAGTATGCAATTTATTGTCATGATAAGGACTATGGCTTAAATGTCTAAATTGTGATGCTTAAAACACTGAGCAAACTTAGTTATTGTCTACAACTGTAAAGCTTTTTTTTTCTTAAATAGTTTAATTAGAGGGCTATGATATGTTTTCAGTGAGACTGAGTAATTCTTCCATAGAAATGAAAGTAAGGGGAACATTTCCTAAACAGCCAGAGAATTTCAACTTACTACTCTTGGGAAATGATGGGAGTTACTAGCATTTCTGCATCACAAAAATGGCAGAACTGACAGCTGGTCAATAAGCATTTACTAAACACTTACTATGCGCCAGGAACTATTCCAAGAACTAAGGATGCAAAATAAGGCAAAACCATGGTCCTTGTCTTCAAGGAATTCTCATTCTAATGGAGGAAGTAACATGCAAACAACTATTTGCATGCAAGATATATACATCATAAATGGGAGGAAATCTGAAAGGAAAAGGATTAGAAAGAAGTTTCCTTGAAATAAAGACAATAGAATATTAGAAATGGAAGGAACTTTAGTACATAGTAGAATATGGAATGTTAGGACTGTAAGGGACCTTGGAACATAAAACATAGAGTGTTTGAGCTAGAAATGACTTTGGAATGTGGCACATAGAATGTAAGAACTGGAAGAAACCTTGCAACAGTGAATGTTAGAGCTGGAAAAGAACTCAGAGATCATCTGGTCTAAGTCATTTTCTAGACAAGGAAAACTGAGAGTTAGAGATGTAAAATGATTTACCCAAGGTCATATACTTAAGGGTTATAAATGTGCTCAGTGTTCTCCAAATTTGGCATCCTGAGGCTAAACTTTACTTGCCCTTCCCTACTTATGGTTCGCATTTAAATGGTCTCAAGTGATTTCACAAAGCCCAACCTATTCCCCTCTACATCTGCCAGCCAAACTGAATTGTACCTATTAAGTACTTGCCATGTACCAGGGATACTCTGTTCTACTGTACAGAAAAGCAGATAGGAAGTGCCAATTTTTGTCTCCTCAATTGGCTTCACTTTTCTCCTTCTGTATTTCTTTCTAGCTTAAGCAATTTATCATAACCCAGCTTTGTATTACCACATTGAGTGAAGGATTTCTTTTCTTTCACTATGAGTAGTGAATGACTGTAAGATAGATAGATCTCTTCTTTTTTTGCTTGCTTTTAAATAAATTCAAATTTACGGGTTTGGGGTTTTTTTGCATTTTCCATAGCAATTAGTAAAAGATCAAAGAAGATACCTCCTTTGTTAGGATTGTTCTCAATCCTTTTCTTTCAATCAATAAACATTTATTAAGTGCCACTGGGAATACAAAAAAAGACAAAAGACAGTCCCTACACTCATGGAGCTTACAGTCTAATGAAGGAGACAGCATGCAAACAAATATATGCAAAGCAAGCTACATACAGGATAAATAAGAAATAATTAACTGAGGGAAGGTACTAGAATTAAGAGGGGCTGGGAAAGGTTGTAAAAGATGGGATTTTAGTTGGGGCTTAAAGGAATCCTGGGATGTAAGCAGGCTGAGTTGAGGAGTAATGAATGGTGTCCCAGGCATGGGGCCCTTTTCTGTCAAAGTCCGCTTCAGTATTAAAATGCCGTAGTGGGAAACACTTCGTGTAAGGGCTCAAAAGATTTGGGTTTGAGTCTTGGCTCTACAGGCTGTTTTACCTTAGGCAGGTTACTCTACTACTCAAGGTTTTGGTTTCTTCATCTACAAAATGAAATCAAGGTGCTTTACTTTTAACATTCTTAGCTAAGTGGTACAGTGGATAGAGTGCTAGACTTAGTTCAAATCCAATCTCAGATATGTATTAACTGTAAATATCTGGGCAAGTTACTCAACTGTTGTCTGCCTCAGTTTGCTCATCTATAAAATGAGGATAATAACACTGCCTTCACCCCAGAGTTTGTATTATGTAAATACTTATTATTATTATTATTATTATCATTCTGTGAGACTGCTCTCACATTTCTTAATTAGCAATTCTTCATATTCCCAATAAGTCAGTCTCATCATGTTCCCCATACCACACCTCTTCTACTAATGTTCAATGACTTATCAAGGTGAGGAAATATCTGATTTTTTCCAAGGCAGTTCTGGGTTGCAGTGGATAGAGTGCTGAGTCTGGAGTCAGGAAGACCTGAATTCAAATTCAGCTTCAGAAACTTACTAACCATAGGCAAGTCACTTCCCCTCCATGTGCCTTCATTTCTTCAACTGTGAAATGGGAATAATAATAGCATCTACCTTGCAAGACAGTTGTGAGACTCAAATGAGATATCTGTAAAGCACTTAGCACAGTACACAGGTGCTTAATAAATTTTTCTCCCCTTTTCCCTTCAAAGATTATGCTTCTAAAACACAAATGTTGGCAGATCCTACCAAATTTCAAAGGTTCAGAGGGATCTCAGTATAAAGGTTTCAAGAAAGAACCTAGTGACAGGCTGTTTATCTGTTTTCTGAGGACCAAATTAGTATAACTAAGTTTGGAAAGACTGTTTGGAAATATGGCTGTTGTGGTTTGGGGTGCCGGGAACCCCAAAATGTAAGGGTACAGGGTGAGTCTGCCTGGAATGAATTCACACACTCAAACCTTCTTCCAGTCAAGGGGCAATTTATTGTAACAAGTGGGCAAGATTTCTAGTAAATCTGCAGCTTAATGAGGATGAGACTGATACTTATATACAAAAAGGGGGGGAAATGGTCAGTGAGAAGATCTTGATGGGATTACGGAGTGGTAAATAGCCTGGGGGTAGGCCAAGAGAGGACTGTGAAAGGACTGTTAAGTATCTAGGTGGGCTGGGGTGGGCCAGATGCCTTGGGCAAGATGCCAGTGATCTGGGATGCTGAATTGTATGGGGAAATTCAGGGACTAGGTTGCTTTCAAAGACATGGTCTTTTCCTTTTAGGGGTCCAGGTCCCAGCATCCCATCATGGCCACTGGGGTGATTTTTATTTTTAATTTTTGGCTATTAACAACTCATTGAGACTGTCCCTTGAAGGACATAGAAGTTGCCATCTGCATCAGTGGAGGAAGTACTGAAGAAATCATTAGTCTTTGAAATACATTAAACATACTTGGATATTCATAGGAAATAACCTCAGAGGCCATCTTATCTAACCCCTCACTTTACACATGAAGAAATTGAGGCAAAGGGAGGTTAAGTGATGTGTTCAAAGTCACAAAGGTTGTAAGCAAGAGAAATAGAATTCTTAAAGTACATGTGTAAACATGGGCAGCCAGGCAGTGCAGGGAATAGAGTGCCAGGCCTGGAGTCAAAAGGACCTGAGTTCAAATCTGGTCTTAGAGACTTACTAGACATGTAACCCTGGGTAAGTCACTTAACCCTGTTTGCCTCAGTTTCCTCAACTGTAAAATGATCTAGAGAATGAAATGGCAAACCACTCCAGTTTCTCTGCCAAGAAAACCCCAAATGGGGTCATGAAAAGACAGACAGCACTGAGACAAATGAACGATATATAAACATGCCTGACCCAGTGCTAATTGGCATATGGGAATAATAAAACTAATTGAAAATCATCTATTAATTTCATTCATTCAATAAGCATTTATTGAACATCCATTCTATTTAAAGAGCACCCAGTTAGGTGTTGATATATTGAACCAGGGAGTACACACTGTGCTAAATTTGAGACATGTGTTAATTTTTAAAATTAAAATTATATTTTATTTCAATGGGTAATGTCCTCATTAACCATTATTTTGTGAGTTTAGAAAAAGTAATGAAAATTGTTCAGGATATAAGCATGCCCTTTGAGACTGATGCCAAGTGGGCAACCATAGAGTTATAGAAGTGTAGAAAGTACTTTAAAACATGGTGATGGGTTCAGGGTGCATTCCAAAAATGTTGGGGCACCACCAGCCCAGTGTCCTGAAGAAATTCACTTGGACAGTTCTCCCAGTTAAAGAAAGGCATTTATTTGGGTGCATACCCAAACAGGTACTGCTTTCCTATGGGAGGCAGAGCCCCATAAGGCCCTCTCTACATGGAAGAGACAGAGCATAGGTTGCAGGCCCTGATCCCCTAAGGGAGGCAGAGCAATTATTGAGATTAGGTGCCTGGTCTATACAATTTGACAGGATAGGGGTAACGGGAACAGGAGAAGGGAGGAGGGGTAGGCAAGGTTCTAGAATACCTGGGATATCAAGTAGTCCAAAAGATGTCTTTATCATACAGATAATCAAAAAGAACAGGAAAGGGGAGGGGAAGAGTTGTTCTGGAAGGTCAGGTAATGGGGGGGTACTTTGTGAAAGCACACAGATGAGTTCATGGTGGGGGGCTTCAATGCATAGTCTTCTTTGATCACTTTTCTGACTGCATCCTGCTGGTTCCATTAGCCTCAAGCACTCCTTTCTACCTCATCAGTGGGGCACTGAATACTATGGCTGGAGGGACCTTAAAATATGAAATGTCAGTGCCGTATGAGGCTTAAGAACATATAACAATAATATAACTTGACAGGACTATAGAACTTAGAACAAAGACTACTGAAACTGAAAGTGACTTAGAACATATAATATTAAATGTCAGAATGGAAAAGGATGTTATAGTTTGTACCTTTTAAGAAATAATAATTATTTGGATGAAGACTTGGCATGGTTTTCAAATTTACTTACAGCACAAGGTTGGCAAAAATAGCTACAAATTTGGATGACCAAAAAAATATGTTTTGCCCTATAATAGTTTGTTTATTTGGCCTTTTTGCCCTAATCAACTATAACTCTCATTAAGGAAGGGCATGAATTATATCTTATGAACTTGACTTGATTTGACTTGACTTGAATCTCAGCTCCTTTGATTGGATAAATGGAATGTAACTAACAATAGGAAAATAGCTGTGAATTTATTATA